AATTATTTCGCATCGCTGACATATTATTTATAATTAGTGTAATGAAATAAAAGTGTAGGAATACAGCCCATTTGTTGATTGATTATAGTTTGTGAAACATATTAAGTTTAAGAACAAAGGGAGTGAATTATTCAGTTACAGCAAAAAAATAATTTTAATATGACAATAATATTGCTTTAAGTTAATTAAAAAAAAAAAAAAGGTTTCTAAGCCTTAGTAAGAGTACATTTAACTAATCCAAAGTTCAAAAAAGAAAACTGAACTCAATTGAAATTTCAAAACATTTTCAATAATAGGAAATCTGAATTTTAAGCTAACTGAAAAATCATCATAAAGTATAAAACTAAAGATCAGAGCAATTAGTATCCCATAATACAAAACTATAAACACAAAATAATTAAAGAACATAAATATAGCATTTCTTACTCGCACTTCAGCATTACGAGGCTGTCCAGTTAGATCACATTTTGTACCATTTACATAATATTGTGTGTGGTACCTCTGCTTAGCATGCTTAAATTTTTCCTAAAAATTAAAATAAATAAATACACACACATATATAGATATGAATTTAAATTAATATTCTACTGAAACAACAAGAAAAAGATCTAAAGGATACTACTACCTGATCAGTCTCATTATCCCAGTCATAATCAGACTCATAAAGGCCTAATGTTAGGACTTGACCAATAATTTGGCCGTCTGGCAAAATCAAGATATGCTTGAATTAATATTTATCAAAAACTAATAAGAACAATAATATAACATCTGCAAAAAATAAATTCTATAAATTTGTTTTAATATTCTTCATAAAGAACACTCGAACAAATCTAAAGAAGAAATTTTAAAAATAATGCTTTAATGAAGAAAATTTAATTAATTCAACAAACAGAAGAGGGAAAATCTTTAATATGTGATTTTTAAAAAAATATCAGTACGATAGCAAAGCATCAACTGGAAAAAAGGTGTTTTATAATGAGTCAATGTATCTAAGCTTCAAGGTTGCATATTTTCAGCTAATCCCAAAGAAGTTGCGTAAGTAGTGCAATAGTTAGACATCTGACTGGAATTCTTCATTTTATTTTATACACTAATACTTGCTGTTATGAGTTTCATATCTTAAAAGCAAGCATAAGTTAATGTAACTGTCATCAAGCAGCTTACTGGGAAAAAAATAATTGTTCTTAATTATTCCCCAAGTTCCCCAGATTTGGCACCTGCAGATTACATTCTACTCTCTAGAATTAATTCTTACTTTAAATGACAAAATTTTACATTACCATTTAAAAATTTAGAGACCACAGCTAAGGGATGAAAGAACCCAGACAATATGCCTCCAAAAAAATACACACAATTAAGTAAGAGTATGGTATTTTTTGCATGTTCATTTTAAGAAAATTATACAAATAAAAAAGCTGAAGATATTATTGTTGCTTTATCATATTTTCCACCAGTTATTTTCAGAAAAAATTTTATGAAGCCAAATGTACTGAGAAAAGCTATCAAGATCATAGTAATTTTCATTCATTACTTTTATGAATCTATGATACAGAGTATATGTTGATTATTTTTTCATTTTACATTTGATATTCTTTTTTTCTTCACACAAAATTTCAAACAAAAAAAGGGGAGGAGGTAGCATGAAAAAAAAATTTTTTTTCCAGAATTAAAATCACATACACTAATAATTTTTATACTATAATAACTGAAATAATAAAGTCTACAAAATTTAAAACTGATTTTTTATGCAAATTTAAATTAATTATTTTGATAACAAAAAGTTTTCAATGTTTTTTAACATTCAGGAGAACTTTATATAGTGATCCCAGTAATATTTATTATAGCAATTATTGAGTAATATTATATATGAGAAAAATTTTTAATATGAATTTTTTAAATTTGGGACATGTATTTCGTGTTAATTTTTAATTTATGATGCACAGAATATGTGGATGGTTGAATTATTATCAAAAAGTTATATCACGCTAATAATGTAAAGTTATATCACGCTTTTAGAAAATGCAGATATTTAGCACAATACAAATGTTTATTTTGAACATTTATATTTTATTTATAGAAACATTTTGATTTATTTATTTATAGAAACATTTTATTTTGCTTCATGCTTATTAACTTTTAAGCGAATTAAGCATCTAACAAATCTGAAATGCAGGGTGGCACAGGGAAATGGGAAATTCTGAACATTAGAATTGGCAACACTGTAATGCTGCCAGTTGTTCTGAGCCAATGCATAGTAGCTGTGAATGCATGGCCATGTAATAATTATGCAACATTGGAGTGGTATGGAACATGCTGAGGAACATGTGAGAGTGTTCTACAAACTGAGTGATAGTGTGACTACTGCACAAAGAAGTTGACTTTAAATGAAATATCAATATTAAAGGAGCATCAATTTAAAAAATTTAAACTATGAAAAATATTACAATGTAATGAACTATAAAACATCACTATGAAAAATATTACAACGTAACACTGCTATTCCAAGGCCATGTGGAAGATAAAAACCTTACATTTCATGTAATAGCAACACTTGCAAAACTGGTATGCAAATATGAAATTATTTAAATTATCACTACTATATGTCGGGGGGAGCTAAATTTTACCTTGGTTTTGCTTTATTACATTATTCACTCAGAATCTCCATAACTAATAATTTATAGTTTAATTTATTAATCTAGATACTACATCAGTATTTTCTTTAATTGGTGAAGCCTTGAAAGATAAACCTTCTATACAAATTAATAACTTAAGTCATCACAGTCATTTTCTCTAAAAAGACAAGATATTAATATTTTGATCATTATTGCACGGAAGTATATGCAGCCATAAAAAGGGTTCAATTTAATTATAAATATATCTGTATATGAAAAACAATATGTACTACCACTTTAAATAAAAGTTAAACTTATTTTATTTTAGGATACCTTTTTAAATACAAATGCTCATATGCAGCATATAATATTGCAGTAAAATATTTATAATATATAATAAATAGTTTTTATTTGAAAAGCAGCTATACAAACCTTCTATGTGAAACTGTTTAATGTAATGTCCAAAGCAAAATTCATAAGTCCACCAATCCTTGCCCTGAAATTAAATAAAAATATAATATGTGAAACTGTTTAATGTAATTTCCAAAGCAAAATTCACAAGTCCACCAATCCTTGCCCTGAAATTAAATAAAAATATAATACAGCAACCATTCAATCTATTGAGAAATTATCTTAAATATGACGCAATCACTCATAAATATGACTAAAAGAAAATTCAAAACAGTACTTCTATTCTACAGTGGCCATCATGAAAAAAATTGTCACTTTTAAAATTACTGTCAACTGAAAACCAACTCTACTTAACACCTGGTCATAAAATGCATCTGTATATTAATTTATTTTTGGAGATGAAGCATTAAAAGTTGCAATATGGTAGAATAAAAAGCAATATTGAGAAATTATCTTAATATGATACATTCATTCATTTATGAAACTTGGCGAGTTTTTATTTGGCACAATTTCGATTTAGTTGTGGTTTCCAGCTGTACATTTTTTGTGACAAACATGGAGCTTTATTTCGGTGATTGTAATGAGTGTGAGTTTAGTGCAGCCAGAATTTTTTTTTTAATTTAAAATTTCGAAATATTGCATTTATTTTTAAAAGTTTTACTGTTTTAATATTCGCAGGAAGTTAAGCTGCTGTTGGTGGGAAAATGTTGGATTTCAGATGACATGTAGTTTACAATTTATGAATGCTTTCATTTAATTTTATTTACAGGGTTCGTACACATTTCTGCAGAAGGAAATTAAGGACTTTTAAGGACCATTAATGAAAAAAATTAAGGATCTATGAGCAAATGGGAACTGAATAAATTCAATTAAAAATATTATATTTATGCCCTGAACGTGAGTAGGATGCATATTATTATTAAACATAACTTAACATAATTATTAATATTTTAAGAATATAATTAATTTTATGAATTTATCAAGTAGCATTACATATTTTACACTCATAATAACTGAACATATCTGAAAGAAGATAAGTAACTTTTAGTTACATTTTACTAAAACAGCTTTTTTTTTTTTTTTTTTTTTTTTTTTTTTTTTTTTTTTATGTCTCATTTTGTCACGCCTTGCTCAAATCTAGAGGTTTAGTAAATAGTAAGTAGATTTTATGTCAAGCAGCATAGGTTAAAATGAGCATTAAAATCATAATCAGCATGATTCATAACAAAAGATTGGCTGTTGTCACCGCTCCTGCTCACCTATAGAGAGACCTGCTGACCAGAACAAACCTGAAATGCCTGATGTAGGCACAGTTAGCAAGTTTTGAAAGTTAGCTGATCTCTGTCTGACGCTGTTAGTGTTATAGCTTCGTGCAGAGTTCCAGGGGTTGTAACTCAGTTAATATATTTTAAGGTTCTGTTAAGCCACTAAAGCATTAGCGGTGATAATTTGTTTTCCATTAAGTCTTACTAGATGCAAAGAATAAGATTCACATGAATTTTTATATTTTTATGTTTTACCTTGTGACCACGGTAAAGGTTTAACACGTTGAGCCCGGCGTGGAATTTGCTCTCCTTTCTGTTCAGCAGGCAGCGATCAGCCAACTTAAATTATTCATAAATTATACAAAAAGAAAGGAGACGCACATAAAGTCCAAAAGTATTGTTCAAAATGTTATGATGACAATTCAAAACTATTTGGATGCAAGTTTGCCAAAAATGTTACCAAAATAGTTGTTTGTATTGTAATAGAATATATTATGTAAGCTAAGCCATATTTTTGTTTAGAATGTTTCAAATTAAAATTCATTAAAACTACATTTTTTCACATTCATTGAGACTATACTTATTTTTTAACTTTAATACTGTCGGTCTGCCCGGACCGACGCTAGCCAAACGAAAATTCCAGTGTCGGTTCCCAGGGACCGACGCCGGGCTCAAGCGTGTTAACAAAAAGCAATAACTTGCTTTAATAAATAGAGAATTTTTAAGAGAATGGATTTAGTTATAATAAATTAGGTATTAGATACCTTAGTCATTATGGATTTACATGGCCACTATTAAATTAAATTTATTTTTAATAATATTTGTTAAAAAAAACCCTATTAATATCACAATCTCATAAATTTCACAGTTTAAAATACATGCAATTTATAACATTGATTTTTAAAAATATTAGGATAATTACACATTAAAAGCTACAAACTAAAACAAATAATTATGCATCTTTTTTAATTGAAGGCCTGCCCAGACATTTTGGCTAATTTATATCTATTTCCTTCTCCTTAAGCATGTTTTCTAACAATTAGAAATTTTCTCAATATGCAAAACAATGTTCTCATTAGTTTCTGCGTGTTTTATCTCCTAACTGCCAACCTCTCCACAATGTACTACCAATGAGGGTTTACTGATCTGTAAAATTTAAATAGTCTGACCTCCCCCAACAGACGTGAAACAAATTATCACTATGTCTGAAAGTAACTATAAATCAGATAATAAATTAAATAAGGTTAAAAAAGCTCATTGTAAAATGTACTGGTAGTGGTACAAAAGTTTTCAATTTTTGTTTAGATGGTATGCGTTAGTCAAAAGGTTGAAAAACAATGGTTTAGATAATTTGGCGCTCTTTCTAGTCGTTCCTTTGACCTTCGTACCTCACTTGCCTTCCCCTTGTCTCCTATCTGTCATTGACACTAGTGGTCTCTTTAATAAAAATTAGCCAATGATGACATCAAAAACAATGACGCCACTAACTCGCTAGAATTCCATTCACAAGAATCAACCAATGAATTAGCACGAAGTTTAACCAACGTAAAGATTAGGTTTAGAGTTATGTTGAAAGAAATAAAAGAGGCCGAAAAATTAGGAGATCTGTAACCAAAAAAGTAAGTAAATGAAAAAAGAATTACCTGAGGTCTTTTGTATCATAAAAACAAAATTTACTAAACTTGAGCAACAAAATTATAATAATCGACAGTTTATTTACTCGTATTTAAAGTTTACCTCACCAGCAGCTCCCTTTCCTTAGCAGCCGAATCGAGCCTTAATTCGTAAGTACCCACTCCAGGTTCTTTAGCAGTGTCGTCATCATCTTTTCCCGATAAATGTAAACCAATCGCTTCACCATAAAATCTCTAGCAAGGAAGAGAAATTGATGACACACGAAGTTAGGGGCTGCCCTTTATTTATTTATTTTTCTGTCTTGTTTATTTTATTTATTTATTTATTTATTTATTTTGGAAGGGGATTTTTTTTTTCTATTCTTTACCTAAACTTTTTTTTATCAGTTGTTTATGTTCTATTTGTCCCAATTAAAAGAAAGAGTGTACTAGTTTCAATATTTTATCATTACACTGCAATATATGATATTAGAGCAAGTCCATGAAATTCATCGTAGCAAGGAGGTGTGTGTGTGTGTGTGATTATGGCAAAGCCTCGAGGGCTATCTGCCTAAGGGAGGGATGCCTTCGTGGAGGACTTTCTAAGGGAAACTGGTTCGTATACACGTTACACATGGGGAAAACCATCGTAGCAAGGAGGAAAGATTGCATCTGTCTTATGCCAAGAGCCTTGCGCACCATATAGGTGACAATACGACTTTGCTCAGTTCCGCCTCCCGCAGTTTAAAGGATCCCCCTTGTAGGGTACGAAGTTCTCCCAGCACTCTTCCCCTTCTACCAACCTCTCGAGAAGACTTTCGGATCACCGCATATTTAGAGTGCCCCTATGCCGCTCAGACACTATCAGACACTTACAAACATCCATGCCTTCTCGGTTCGAAACTGGGCCCATCGGTGCGGCACTCAGAGTCACTAACCATTATCCCAATTGGACCACACAAAGTATTATTATTATTTATAATTATTATTATTTACTTATCATTATTATTATTTATTATTATTAGTCCAAAGAGGCTTTGACTAAAAGGGGTCTGAGGGACTATTGTTTTCGTTTCGCGATTTTAAGTCGAAACACTCTGAATGTCCGTTTCGCTTTTCAGACTGTTGCCACCCAATATTATTGCCCTGTATTATATTCGAAGAAACTAAATAACAAAGAATCTGCATAAACGTATGTATGTTTCTCGCATTGTGATAAAACAACGGTACCTAGAGCCATCCAATTTTGAATGACGTAATCCTACTGCGAATATGGGCATGTGGAAGCCTAAATTTGGAATTTGGAATTTGTTTTATGACCAATTTCATATTTTGTAAAACTTGTTAATTGAATTTTTGATTAGCAAACTCAACGATTCCAAAGCGAGCAATGGAAACATTGTACAGAAAAAACATTTTTATCTCCAGTGCGTGAGACTGCGTATCGGAAATTCTAACGATATGCTCAATTTAAAATTATTTTGCGATATTGCTGTTGAACTGAATTTTATGATTGAAGTGTGAAGAACATGATATTTAATAAATAAAGGTAACACACAAAGTTTTAAAAAAAGTCACTTTGGACGTAATTTATTGTTATAGAACTACTATTATTATTATTACTTTTTTCATGCTGTTAATGGTTGACCCCAAATACGTTGAAACCTGGTTTGCAAACCTTCTTAAATACGCAAATTGTCCATGATCTGGAGATTGCAAATGTCACCCTGATCGATAAAGTGCTTAGCGATGCTAGCTGCCTTGTGGCGCTTTTCTGGGCGCTGGTTGGAATTCCGAAGACAGCATGGATATTTGTAAGGCCTGTGCGGCATAGGGGTTCTTAAATATACTGCGAAGCCAAAAGTACTCTAAACTGATTTGGTGGTAGCGGAAGAGCTTGGGAGACCCTCGGATCCGTTCTCGGGGTTATTCTCCACCAAACTGAAACAGGGCAGAGCTGCACTGTTAGGTTAGGTTATTTAATTACGGAAAAAGCCTCGAGGGCTATCTGCCTAAAGGGAGGGAGGCCTTCGTGGAGGACTTTCTAAGGGAAACTGGCTCGTATACACGTTACACATGGGGAAAACCACGAAAACACCCATGCAGCCAGCCCGTTCGCGGGATTCGAACCTCGGACCGAATTACCAGTGTTCAGCGACTTTACCGCTCGGCCGCTGGTAGGCCTCTGCACAGTTAGAACGGTGGAATTGTACCTACATGGACCAATGAC